GACGATATTCATGCATATTTTTCCTTGGAATTTTCAGATATTTCATATTAAATTGCGAACAAAATTGTCTGAAAATTTTGGGGGGAAATATTCACAATTTGTCCGGTAAATTCGGTTTTTATCGAAGGAAACATGGCAACGCCTGAGGGCTCATACGGTGTTCTTTCTTAGCACGGCAGTACTGGCGATGCAGGAAACAGCGTATCTCTTTGAGGGAAAATTGTGCTCTTATGAGCTTTATGCTCTGACTCGAGATTTTCAGCTATATTCTGATTTTCGACGCACGTTTGCTTAAAAACTCCATCTTACTGGCTTAGAGTTCCTTCAACATTTTCATGCCACGGAAAAACGCTGTTTGAACATTTGGACGTTGGCAAATTTTTCCGGATAAAATGTTTGTATTCGAGGAAAGTAATTACGAAATTTTTTTTCTAGAGGCGTCTGGTTACATTAAATTGCGAATGAAATGTTTAAAAAAATTTAACAGAAAAATTTCACAAGTTTCCCTAAAATTCTCGTCTCATCGAATTTCTCCTGATCAAGCGAAAATTTTAGGGAAACTTGTAAACTTTTGCAGTTGAATTTTTTTAAGAGTTTCATTCGCAATTTGGTCTAACCTGACAATTCTGAGGAAAAATTCTGTGAGCTCATAAAAATGCTGTATATAAATAGTTTGAGAATTCAACGACACTTTCGTCTCATTTTTTTGGCTGACATTTGACACGAGGCTCAAAATGTGAGCTGAATTTTTACTCAGTGGAATGATTATCTGTGTCAAGGAAATAATTTTCAGCCCAATGGGCCTGTTGGAAACTTCAGCTATAGCGAAAAGAAGAGTTCTCCACTGCGCCGATGATACTTTCTTACTATCTCGATCAAAAACACGCAAGATTTGACAAATTCTCCTATTTTTTAACTTTCATGCTCCTATGAACTTGGAACTTGGAGTGCACACGATCGACCGTGGCATAAACATGGAAGTTAATAGTTTCGAGTACGGAGGGATCGAATTTCGTTGAATTTAAAATCTGAGCCGACAAATGCATCGGACGGACGCATACACGAAGCTGTTTTGATCGGTTGGAGTCGCCAGGACGTCACTTCGATCATGTCCTCCGACGAAAGAACGGACCAGCGCCTGGATCGTTGAATTACCTCGATCGATAGATAACATTGCTGAAAGTAGCGTGGCGTGCTTAGCGATAAATCGATTGCTCTACCACTTAAACCTATAGAAAAGGATCGATGAACAGGGGTTCGCAACGAACATTTTAATAATCGATCTTTTACCATAGCTTCGAATGGGGAAATATCGATATATCGCAGAGCATGCCACGCCACTTATTGCCGAAACAGGGATTATCGATCGATAACGATACAACACGAGGAAACCCGGTCGAAACAAGCGGAGCGGAAGAAATGCGCTTCAGAACGACGAAATGCACTCCGACAACGGGCAGGATGCAATTGGTTGCACCGGAGGGTGGCGCACAGTGGGTCGAGTCGACACAGGAGAGGTCGGACAAAATTTGGAAACTTTAAACGCTTATAACTGCGTTCATACAAAACTTGTAGGCTTTCCAATTGGTTCCATTGGTTTCTCGTAAAATTTCCTTTTGAAAGCACCCCTTGAAATTTAAAATATGACGAACTAAACATCAAAATTGGCATATTTAGTCAAACATTCATTGGAAAAAAAAAACCACATTGGATCTTGAGTCCAGACTCTTAAAAACATCGACAAGAAAAAATACTCTTGATTCAGTCAGATTTATGCCTAAATTAAGTACCAAGCCTCTTAATTTGAGCGGATTTCCTTTTGATATAAGCTTAAATCTGCTTGAATCAAAAGTCCTTTTTCTTGTCAATGTTTTTAAGAGTCTGGACTTCAGATCCAATGTGTTTTTTTTCCAGTGTAATTTGAGCGGATTTCCTTTTAATTTAAGCTTAAATCTGATTGAATCAAGAGTCCTTTTTCTTGTCAATGTTTTCAAGAGTCTGGACTCTAGATCCAATGTGTTTTTTTTTTTTTTTCAGTGAATCTGATGGAATCAAGAATTCTTTTTCTTGTCAATGTTTCCAAGAGTCTGGACTCTAGATCCAATATGTTTTTTTTTTTTAGTGTTTCACGTCCGACCTCTCTGATTGGCTTGATCCACTGCAGTCCACTGTGTGCCGGAGGGGACCGTGGAATGGCGGGAGCGGGGGCGAGGGGAGGGAGTTTGGGACGTGTTTCTGAATCAGGACCGGGTCGCCGCCGCCGCCGGGACTGCGGCTGCATTATTGGTGCGCTTCGGCTGCACATGGCGCTGCATAGATGCACCCAAACTCCCGTCCCCCTCCCCCGACCCGTGACAGACGAATCAAGTCCCGAACGCCCGGCCAATCAGACCGCTTCGCTCGCCTCCATCTTCGGACCGTTGATCCCAATCTCAGTCGGGCGACCCCCCCTCCCGTTTGACCCAACTCCACGCAGCGACGCACTCTCCAATGGTGCGTCGGCTAATATTTGGATTGGATTCATTGGTAGCTGAACGTTACCAATTCATTTGATGTTGGTGGTGTTATATTCGAGTGCAACATACCGATTATTCTGTGCAGTATACTGCCGTGCAACACAAAAACGCCATTTTACATTTTTTGGAAACAATCTATCATAGTAGAAAAACTTGTGTACCTTGGATGAATATTTTTACAGAATTCTTTTGCAAATACTATCAAGAACTTAACCTGAAAATTTAAGGAGCATTGGTAAAACAGTTTTTATTTTATAAAGTGTTAAGTTCCAAAAAACGAGGGAAAATCTTGATGGATTTACGGCGTTCTTGCTTATTACGGCATTGTGCCATTTCATATTATATTATGTAATACATTTTATTACATTATATTCTATTTAATATCTCGATGGCAAGGTGGTAAAATAATGTTGGGTCCACAGTATTTTAAAGGGGAAACAAGCTCATGAAGTTCACAAATTTCAATTGGAGTCAAACCTTTTGAGCTCTAATGAGCTTGAGCTCGGTTTTGTATACTGATTCTCATTTCGGCTGGCTGAAGGGTTTCGACTATGATTGAAGTGTTTTAATTTTTTTGGCCTTGTTTTCACCGCACACTTTGTTACGTACAGTTTGAGCCACGTTCCTCAGTGTTTTTATCTTGTATATTGATGACTAAAGTTCAAAACCATGTAACCCCTTAATGGTGTTTCGACATGTCTGATTCTAATTTTTTCCTCTTCTTTTTTTCCTTTTTTTTGGGGAAACAAGCTTTAAATCTTGACAAATTTACAAAATATTCTGATAAGAGAGAAGAAAAATCAAGGTAATCAAGTTTTCGGAAAAATATGTTAAATAGCTTTCTACATTGAAATTTGGTATGAAAGAAAAAGTCTTGTGTCCGCGTTGTATGAAACACGAAGATAAACAAGAATATGTTGAATAAGGATGTATTGGCGCAAAACGCACATCACAATAAAGCAGTCTTAACATTTTTTGGGTGGATTTTATGCGTTGCAATTGGGCATGGTGCATCATTAAAGTTGACTTAAGACCTCCCTTAAAAGGCGACGTTCATGCCATAGAACTGGCCGCCAGGGCGAAGGTCGTCCGGTCACTTTTGGATCACGGTTCACCCCTCAAATGGTTATACGGTTTCCTTTTACAGTTTTTCTCCTTCTTAAGATGTCATTTTTCCTTGAATGACACTTGCAGTTATGCAGTCTTTTGAACTGAATCGCTGTTTGCTGAATAGTGCTCTTGCTGGCATAATCTAATTTCGACATACTTTCATAAATCAAATTCAATTCTCACGATCAAGAACAACCAGACAGAAATCTCATGGTTCATCGAAATTAAAGTTAATTGCATCAAAATATTCGTACGTGGTTTTATGGCCCAAACTGGTAACCCCCCAACTTGGTATTCAGATTGGAACCTTTCAGCTCTTACAGTCCATTGAGTTTTATACCAAATATTGTAGTGATGCGTCTTTATATAACGGAGGACTCATAATTATTTCATACTCTTATTCTGTGACCGGCACTGACGCAATTATTATTACCGAATATTCTTATCGGTACACATAAAAAATGAGAATCTAGGACCACTTTTTGCAAGAATATTATTTAACAATCTCATATTAGGAAAAAAGATAAAACTCTTCATACGTATGAGAAGCAATGCCAGCAGCCACCGCCCCTCTTCCTCCTACCCTCCGTCCATTTTCTCTGTCTTCCCTCACGCTTGACAGTACGTCATCGATATTGATAAGTGATTGGTAGGTAAAACGAATTTCAAGGCACACTTTCAGTTCATTCTTAAGTTTTTTTATTTGCCCCCAAAATGGCTGACTTCAGGAACCTGAATTTTGTTTGCTCTGCAGTGCATGGCGGGTTCCGACCTATATTACGGATTTTTATTGCGCTAATACGAATTGAAAAAATCCGAAAGGGAAACCTCTTAGGTGCATTCGACCAACCAATGAGAGAAGTCCGTTAGTCGATTAGATTTCCCTTTTTACATCGGCATAGATCGCTTTGTGATAGTGAACCTGGAGAGCAATATAGGGATAGCCCCAGTGAAATACGCGCTGGCTGACACTATTTCGTGTGAAAAAACAGGCGATAAATGGAAAAGATAGTGTATGTATTTGTTTAAGTAGAAAGAGACAGAAACATATAATGAACTGTCATTGGTGGAAATTGTAAAGAGGATTAGAAAGGTGGACTGGAAAAAAAAATCGACAACTCTGCAGTTGATCACTATGAGAGATAAAATGGGTAAACACTTTTATGGATGCAATCCAACGCAGAAAGAAATGCTGCGTACTTTGACGCCTTAACACTTGAAAGGTGACTTAAGCTAAAATTCAACTAGTCAAGTTACTAGGAAGGGCGAAAGGAACAATGTGTCAGGTCAATTTCTAGTCTAACGAAATCGAACATTATGGAGTCACCATGATAAAATAACCGCATAAGTAAAAAACATATAGTGGAAACTTACCTTGATTATGTAACGAAATACTGAGGTCTCAAGGAAAAAAAATAATCCAATGTGATCTGTAACAGAGATCAAAAAAATTACTTTACATGTCAGTGTAAATAAATCATAGGAGAAATTAAAGAAGTCGCGTTTTTCATTATCAATTCAGTATGCCGTATCATAATAAATTTTGAGGGCATATACCTGTACAGCTTCGTATTTGTGGATTTGCCTATGTCTCCCTGATTTTAAAGAGATGGATGTGCACCTATCGTGAGGATTTTAAAAAATACGGGGAGTACGCCGCCATGACAGCTTGTCGGTCCAACCCCTGGATGCGGTTCGCGCGTTAGGCGTTATAAGTTACTCTCAAACTTATATGTATGATTTTAGAACGTATCCTAGTTTAGGATATTAGTGGACTTGGATACTTCGCAATGATCCGAATCCCCACCTCCCTTGAAAAAAATTTGTACATTTATTGAATTATAATATTAAATTAATCGTCGTGATAGTCGTTGCAAATTGACAGCAAATGCATCATAAACGTTTCAGCATGAGGCTACTCAGTTACTGTGCATAGCTGCTGACCTTCTCTATAAATGGATTTCAGTTCAGTTCCGAAGACAAGGAAACTATAGTTTCAGATGAATAATTTTACCACCGATAGCTACTATAAAAATATGGTTTTTGGTGAACCCATGGCATGGCGTTCCTGTTGCTACCGTTTTCACCTCATTACTGACCGATTTTCAGATCATGGGAGTCGAAAATGACATCATATTCGACGTCATGACCAGACAGCTTATCTGGTATGGTCATGTAAATAGAATGACGGACGAAAGGCTGCCAAAGAAGTTGCTTGATTGGGTTCCTCCTGGGAGGAGACGAAGGGGACGCCCAGTGAAAGGGTGGCGACAGGGGGTTTTAGAAGAAATGAGGGTTTGTCAACTCTCTGAAGGGTTTTGGGAGGATAGGGTACTTTGGCGGCTAGGGGTCGCAGAGCGCCAAAGAGCGCTATAAAAGCGAATTTATACGTACATACTGACCGATTTTTTCTGTACAAAATTTCTGATGCCTGGAAATGTTTAAAATTTGGATAGAATCAGATTTCCGTAAATCTTTACTTTGTGCACGTATTCTCTTCTAAAGTGTATAAATCGAAAAAAAAAAAAAAAAAAAATAGTTTTTGATTTCCAACAACCATAGACTGAAAGCGGTTCAAATCTGGGTCTAATGGGTTTATCGAAGTCAAGCGGCAACGCAGTGTCTGGTGAGTGTAGCCCGTGTAGCATGCGTACAAACGACCAATTACGGGGGAAAAGCACGTGATGAGAAGCAACTGGTTTTGCAAATGTTTTTGCAACGACGAGTAGCGCGCCGCGCCGGCCGGCGAGACGAGACACATTACTTAGGTAGATCAATAATCTTATACAAGCATTACTGGGGCAAACAGCCGAGATCGGAACATTGTCCCCCTCCCCCCTCCCCCACCCCGCAGCCCCTGTCTGGGTCCCCCAGGATCCCCCGACCCCTTCCTCCCATTTCTAGGCTGTCGTCTGCCTTTGAGACTGGAAAGTAATTGTGTTAGACCTTTGGCCGACTTTCCGACACTTAATTCACAAATCATCGGCATCATTCTTTGTGCTCGCGCTAAGATTTATTCATGGTAGAGGAATCACCCCCCTCCCCTTTTCACCTTCGCCCGTTCGGAAAAAAGCCATCACAAAATCAGATATTGTCCCGAGTGAAGACTTGCTTTTTTCTTTTAACCGTCTTAAGTCTCAGTCTTAAGTCTAAACTGTATCATATTGTAAAATTTTAAATCCTAAGCTAGGAGTTCAATAAATAATGTTTTTTTTTTTTTTTTTTTTTTTTTTTTTTTTTTTTTAAAAAAAAATGACTGGTGGGATTTGATCATTTAAAATTTTACTAATTCGACTATGAAATTAATTTCATTGAACTATAAATGAACCGTGAAAAGCAGAAAGAAACCAAGCCACGTCAGCTATTGCCAAATAGGCAACCTACTTTTTAGCATGTGAACGTTTGTGCGGATTATTTTTCTACAAATTTCAGTGAATTTTTTGCAAAGCACGAAAAAATTCCTTAAAATTTTCAGGTGAATCCGCACAAATACGTTCTCTTGTAAAAAATTAAATTGCCCGATTGAATTTGGCAATAGCTGATATGGCGCGGTTTCTTTCTGTTAAACGCGCGCGGTTCAATTAGCTCTTTTGATTTGTAATAATATGTCTGTTGGGTCGCGATTTGATTATTAGAGAAACAGACTTTCATAGAACATAAATAGGAGTTTTATACGATATAATGCATGTGCATAATTTAAGGAAATAAATGGTTAAAATTTGGCATGAAGATGACGACTTTGAAAAAAAAAATACTAGCAATTTTGTAAGTAAATTTTTTTAAAAAAAATTTCTTTTAAATTGGCCTCTCTTTTCTCGATCCTTCGGTGATGGACTCAAATTTACCGACATACCACGTGAGACGTTACTCCTTAGTCTGCTTGGGAAGTGGATTGACGGAAGCATGCTCTATTCGCCGAACACACCCGAGACAATTTTTTTCTCTCCTTCGATAAAAAAAAAGAAAAAGAAGAATGAACGGAAGTAGACTCCAGACGTTCTTTCCGCTGGCAGGATAAGAACAGAGAGGAAGAAGACAAATGATACTTGCTTTATCAGAGCTCGCAAAATTCTTCGATGACGTTATTCTGTCTGCGAGAGGGCAAATTTGACAGTTGACTAAAATTTTAAATCGCGAGAACAGAGGTGTTCATCCTAGTTAAATGTTGTTGCCAGCCAGATTTTCCTTTTCTGCTCATAGTCGAACAGTAAAAATAAATAAATAATGCCGGAACAGCAGACGAATAGTCTAAACTACACGCATCGACACTTATTTTTACTCTACGACATGAACGGAACGTTTTACAATGGTGTGATGTAGCCCGAAGATAAAATACAGTTGTCAACAGTAATTTTGAAGGTCTTGACCCGAGGAAAAAAAAAATGTCTTGATGTCTACTCCGTTTCCTGTGTGGGCAGTATAGTGAAGTGCCTAAGCGGTGTGACGAGCTTTTACACGTGGGTGCACATCTGCCACTCTGGCTCGGGTTTTGTGAACGGGAGTTTATTTTCATTTTATTTTTTCATTGCTCAAATCATGATTGATCTGTATATTTTTTGACGTAAAGCGTATTACCAATTTGTTTGACTTACAATGTGACGATTATCATGTGTCTGTACAGGCGTATAGTTTTGATAAGTTGAGATGAGGAAGAAAATACCCTTCACTACTGAGGCCTAATTAGAGTTTAACAAGAATGTCCATTGAAATCTAATAGACGAATTCATAGGTAGACACAAAATGACGATTAACGCTCCTTGAAAAAATGATGACTTGTGGAATAAAAAGAAAACTACCGGAAAGTAAGTGTATTTAAGGTTGGTCTACAGCATATGACATCAGTGATCAAGAAGCCAGGCTGAAGAGTGCAGGCGTCTCAAAAATATTTCGAGCCTTTTTTTTTCAAATTTTCAGGGGTTTTATGTCAATTTCATCGCAACTTATTTAATGTTTAACAATTTTTGGAAAAAATTTGACTTAAACTTAATACTTCCTTAGGTTCTTCCACTGTGCAACACTACACGCCACGACCTGTGATTATGTAAAATCCAGTGGCATAGTCCATGTTGCAAATGAATGTCTGATGAAAAAATAAGCGTGATTTCAGACATGCGATAAGAATTGTCGAAATGTAAAATCAAGTGATAATAAGAATTGAACTGTCTGGTGGTCATTAAATTTTTCGGTGGCGGGCTTTTTCAGAAAGGATTTGTTTAAAAATTAATTACTTTCACACAATTAATAAGAGCCAAATGAGTAGGACTGCGAGCTTATTCATAAGGACTCAGGCTTAGAGTTAGAATTTTTCGAGTTCAGTGGCAGGTTTTTAAAAAAAAAACAATCACATTTAAAATTAAGTAAATAAAAGAAACCCTAGGAATTGTAACGCCTCTACGTTCTACGCTCGTCTCCCACACGAGTATGCGTGTACTTGTGTTGCTCCTTGCGACGCAACGCAAGCAACTATTACTGCTCTCAAGCCGCTCACATTGCCTACTTCCGTATTGAAGGCGAATGGGTCAGAATGAGCGCGCATCGCAGCATAGCGGACTACTGTTTATTTGCAGTCCCATGATTGAGTTCATTCTGACCAGTTCGCCTTCAATACGAAAGTGGGCAATATGAGTGGCTCAGGAGCAGTAATAGTTCCGTGTAGTGATGTAACCACGCTCATTCATTTTAAAAGTTATGGTAGCAGACTACTATCTATTAACAGTGCATTGTTGCGCAATGCGCACACATCTTGACCAGTTCGCCTTCATTGCCGGTAGGCAATATGATCTGCTTCGGAGTAGTGATGGTTGCTTGTCTGATATAATCCGTAGCGTGTAAAATGCATATTTCTATAAGATTCACACCTGCCAATTCAATTCAAAATTTAAAATTTTATATTTTAAATTGCTTCGAGACTCAAAATCTCTCTGTCGGAAGAATATTCTGCACAAATTTCAAGCCATAGAGTCGACTTGCTCCTCTCGGAAAAAATAAACTAGGAGCGGAGATTTTGAAACATCGCAATCGATATACAGAAGGTATTCAATCGTTCAAAATCGCCAACATGACAACGCCGCCAAGGGCGGTGATCTCAGAGTGGAGAGCATTGCACAGATTCCCATACAAACATAGACGCAGATGAAAGACAAAACACAAGCGCAAAGCAAGGTGAAAAAGTGTCGGAGTTGTAAGCTCAGAGCTAAGGCAAATGGCAAAGAAAAGGCCAGACGTCTAGATGTACCGCCGTCGGCGGGAGGGGGGTAACGGGGGAGTCGGGGGGGCTGGGGGCCGCCGGAGAGGGGGGGTGGCGGGGGTGCAGGATTATTATGCTGCCTCTGCCGGCTCCGGCTATACGGTCTTGGGTTTGACTTCCCCCACACTCACAGGGGCCGAAATACGCTGCTCCGTGCACAGCTAGCGCTCGTTTCCAGCATTT